TTGTATAAAAGTATAAATACAAAGGTATGTGTTATTGCATATATAGCCTGCATTCCTTGACCACCACGAAACAAAATGCCCGAGTTCATACATATGTACTTTTAACTGCATTACTATGTGTGTACATTTGCATACCACAGCCGTTAATTCAAGTTTGCCATCAGCAACGGCATGCAGACATAACAATGGAATGCAACACAGTGTTAAAACGAACGACGGCAATCGTTTGCACAGTGTTCAGTAATGAAAATTTTTGATAAATAAAAATATCAATATGCTAAGTTAAGTGGAATACAATATAATTACAAATTTGAAACATTTTCCGTAAACATCTTACAATTACCACTTTTATTTGGTAAAATATTTGTTTATCAAAGAAAACGTTCGGTGCGGAATCCATTCGAAATTTGCTCTTTTTTATTTAATTTTTGTTCTGGTATTCTCATTATGTATTTATTTTAATGATTTAAACACTCAATTAATTATTTTCATTATTAGTACGTAAATAATTGTCATTTAAAGAAAATAGTTGAAAATCAATGCAAAAAATCATAAAACTCTTCCGAAAAGCATTATTTTGGCACAGTTTTTTTATTAAACGACTTTTTATCATACAAATTTTCATCTATTAATCCGCATAAACAATACTTTAGCTAATCAAACAATTCGAAAACATTTCCCAATGACAACAATAGATAACTCGCACATCATATCTTTTAAACTCGTATTGTCTGATGTCGAACATAGTTAAGCACAATCGAGATATTAAACTTTTATACGCCAAGCTAACATAAGGAAAATGGCCAGACTCGCTATGTTAATAGCATACAAGCAATTTGCGTTTACCCGTTCAGCGTTGCCACTATTTAAACGATTTGTGCGTTTAAAAAGTTCTGGTTTTTGTAAAATAACAAACGTTGAACTTGTGTTTCTTCTGTTGTACTGTCTCGCTTGTAATTTACAAAACTTACTTATTCCAGGCAAAAAGTTATCTGCGAGCCATAATATCGAGGCAACGATCTAATGCTAAACACTAAAAATTTTTATATTCATTAATCGAAGATGATCCAGAAAACTATTTGGTAGTATATCCTTAATAAGATAACTGTATATTAAACAGCCGGTGAGCAAACAAAAATTGAAAACGATCGAATATGACTGTATTCTTTGCACTTGAATTGTTCGTGAATAAAATAGCAAATAGTTCTAACCTGTAATTCTAGAGTTTTTCGGTATTTACTTGCTACATACAACTTTTGCTTCGCTTTTCTTCGGACATTTTCTTTGACAGAAAAGTTCGAAGTATACTTTTGTATGAGTTCGTTCACATCGAGGCGACACAAAGTAAAGCGAAGCAAAATGTTGGGCAACTCTCACCTTTTCACGCTTTGTTAAGCAACAGTCGCCATTTATTTAGTAGAGAGAGTCTGATTTCACTGTATTTTACTTCCAAATTCATTTACGGCGAAACTAAGTAGTTTTGAGTTGTCCAACAATAACTCTCAACTTTTGTGTGGACTAAAGGAAAAGTAAGAAAAATTATTAAACCAAAAATGACGATCATATTTTCATTAATCGATCGATAAATTTTATCGTAATTTTTTTGTTTAAACTGATTTCATAATTAACATTTCAATGGTGTGAGTATTTTTCAGCATAATAACACAATTTTTGTATTATACTATTCGCCACATGTGGCAACACTATCCCCTTGTACGATGGGTGGCTGGCTGACTTTGGTTGTTCCATTGAATTGCAATTGTTGTTTTTGTTGTGGTTGAATTCCAATTGTTGTTGTTGGTTGGTTCGATGACAACGAGCAGAGAGCATAACGTACTTTTAAACGACAGTTTGAAGGTTTGAACTGTTTGTTGTTTGTCTAAATATGTTATGCGAAAGCCCCAAGACAGCTTGTTGGGGTTGCTGTGTTTTCGTCGGTTGCGTTGCTTTTGCTTTGCTATTTTTTTTTTACCGGTAAAATACTCGCACTGCGACAATAACAAATCAACGCTGGAATGCGATGGCTATAGACGCCAACCACCCGCCGGTAAGTCGCAAGCAAACACATACACCTGCAAATATGATTACAATAAGCGTGGAAAGCGCTTGTTTGCCGAGTAGCGAAATGTTAGTTCATGATATCGAAGCTTTGCGTCGTCTGCAAAGTTTTATTAAGCAAATATGTCCGAGAAGGAAGTCAGTCAGTGGGGATAACCTGAAGCGATGAAAATTATGCGTAAATGTGTGCAGACACATACAAAGATACGCACAAATCACACACAAGATACTTAATGAAAATGGTTTTAGAGCGATATGTACACCGGAAGTAAACGGAATTATAGATACACTTAGAATAAAGGAATAAGAGTAATAAAAGCGATTGGGATGCTTTGCTGCAGACATTATATTTTCTCAATTCTTTACAAGTACCTTTATATGTGAGAATTTCTGCTATATATTCATATTCAAACTACACCGATGATTGCGTTGAAAGTTTTATTTAACAATGTTATTGACAAAAAAAACATCAAAAATATAAAACAACCTTTAAATGTTATTAATTTCTTACTATATCTATGAGAAATGGATATCTACGAGTATAACCAGCAACCACTTGGAAAATAAGACACGAATGCAAAGACTACAAAAATAAAAGTTTTCAACAAAATTTCGGGCAGTTGGATTATATTTACCATATTTTGCATAATTTATTCAAAAACCACACAAACGCACAAAACTCAATAAAACCCCGATAAAATACGAATGTAAGCTGAACTCATATAGCAAGGATATGACCCGTCGAAAAAGGTCCTCATGGCAAAAAACAAAAATCTCAGATACTACACAGAAAAATTTATTGCGTTCGGTGAACAAATCTGAAAACAAATAGTATCTCACATTTTATATCTAATGAGAATTAGATAATGCTTAACTGTTGTGCGCCGAAGTAATAGGAATACTTTGTAACAAATTAACCGAGATATAGTGGACTTTTTCCAATGCAGGCGCACAACAGCAAATAGTTGCAGGTGCCTTCGCCAACAAAGTAATGGGGATAAAATTCAACGCGCAGTCTCTTAGCAAAAATCTTCTTAAAAAATTTAGTATTCGTTAACAAATGTTATGCAGAGATTCTGTTCAAAATGTTTCTGGAGCAGTAAATATTTTTATAAAAAACCAACTACAACTGGAAACATAGATATAATCAGAATTGTAAAATTTGCTATTTATTTAGTTGGAAAATAATTCGTATTTGAAAAAAATTATGCTGTGGAAGTCACTTTAACTGAAATATTAACTTACCGACTCTTCAAACTACTTCCACAAATTATAGTTTTCTTGTTATTAATTTCGCTTTCTAAAACACACTTAATCGCCAAATATACAATTTATTTTCTTTTTCACAAGTAATTTTTATAAGCTTTCTAATACACTAAGCACTTTTTGAATACACGTAGATTCATATTTATATTTATTTTTGATATTGATTTAATCTTAACATAAGATTTTCTTATTTCATCATTTAATTTCATTTGTTTATCGCAATAAATTAATACTTGTTTTAAAAAATCACACTGTTTTGGTTATTTCGTCTGAATGAATGAATGGTGTTTCTATGATTTCTATAGATACATAGTCGCGATATTTTGTAAAAGTAATTCACTTCCTTGGCGTTTCAACACAACATTCGGAAATACACATACATACATACATTTGCATGTATTTTTGCCAGACACCAATCACTTCATCAATTTACAAAAGGTTTTGCACACCTCGCTTGTATGACTTCAAACAACTTGCCGATTTGTGCTTTATTTATGTTTAAATTCACTATGTAAATTCCATATAGTCGCTCTGAATTTGTTTTGTTTACTTTTCAATCTTTCAAGTAAAATATATATAAGCAATCTTTTAGTTTAAGTATATTTGTATGTTCTCTTATTGAAGCAAAATCTGGCGAAATCGTCTTCCGTACAAGAATCGCACTCGAACAACACATCATACGAAATGACGCATAAAAATGTTGCATTGCATAGCAGAAGCGAGAGAGCTCCAAAGTATTTAACTGTTATACACAACAAACGAATGCAACCGGAGATAATGTTTAAGCAGATAATGTTAACAGAGAACTTAAGATAATTCTTCTCTAAAATAATCATTCTCTGATGTTAATAAATAGAGAAGGCGCAAATGTTAGCTGTGCTAAAATGTAAATTATTAAAAGGGAACATCGAAAATGCGCAAATTCAAAATTTAAATTACACGACGTCAAAAAGGAGCCCTCTCTTTTTTATAAGTGAACTCAACAAACTACACCACTCTAAGAAGGTACCAAGCAAATGTTCACCACCTAATAAAGGAACGGCTAATATGTATATGAATGCGCAGATGTTCTTTGACATGCGTATTAAAGAAAATTAGAATAACAAAAAGAAATAATAGAAATTGAAGAAGATTTGTATAATGAGGGAAAAATTAAAATTAAATTAAAGTAAATTCAAAAAAAAGGTATATAAAAATTAAAAAAGGAATAAAACAACATCTATGATAAGATATTTGATGTAAATTTGCAATAAGAAGCTGTGCTATACAAGCAGCCCCACAATTATTATTTAGACGTATTACTCTAATGTATGAACATTTTCATTTTTTACTTGTTTTAAATGACCAATTTGTATGTGAATATTCTGGAAAATTGCCTTTACTGCATTCTTTTCCCCGTTTCGATAATTGCGTGGTGTATTTCTAAAGTTTCGAAGTTGTATTTTTCGATGTTCTCTCTTGTGAAAATCTCAAATTAGTACTTATTAACATTTGCGCCTTCTCTATTTATTAACATTCTTTGCTGCAAATGTTAATTAGCACTAACAGCAGAGAATATTAAAAATTAAGCAAACTGATCGTAAATTTTCCAAACGGTTGCAGACTCAGCTCGATTCATAACTGGATAGAAATGGCATAAAACGGAGAAAAATTAAATAAAACCAAACAACGTAAAATATCTTGTAAATAATGCATTTATTTATCTGCCATGTTGTCAGCAATTTGTTCCCTATTTTATTTTGCCATTTGTTTCGTTAATTTATGTATTAGGCGCAAAATAATAAAATAGTTATGTATTGTTACTGGTAACTTCAATTTTTTAGTTGACAATTCCTTAATAAACTAACCAAAAATATAATTGCATCAAAGAACTGACTCCAATTTGCTTAGTTATACTTATACAAATATGTACTCTTCAAATCAAATACAGTTTAATGTGCCCATTTCACATCTATATTTATTAAAAGTTTTAATTTATATTTTAATATGCTGTTAACAAATATTACACCAACTGGAATTGCAGACACACATTTCAAAACAGAAAAATTTCTTGGATTAAATACAAAATGAACGTTAAAAACCTACGGTAGCGTAGGTCTAACGATTGTGTGTGTTGTGTTGCTATTAAGAATTAATTAATCGTGTTATCCATGAATGTGAAATTCTGTTCATGCAAAAAACTATTATTACATATTGTATATTTACATATGTACCCTTAATACTATTCATTTATCCTAATTCCAGAAGAAAGTAGACAAGTTCTAAAATTAGTTAAAATGCTTAGAAATACATGTATACGTAAACGGAACTTACATATAGACATGAATATAAACGGAATATAAAATTTATCAATTATGTCCATTTAAAACAACTTCCATTTGTACATCTGATGACTTATTATGTGTTTCAAGTAGTAATGATTTTACTAAATCAGTGGTGAACTTCTCTACCAATAACAAAGCGTCCTTTTGATTCATTTCAATCAATGATGAAGTTAAAAACTGCCCAAAAGCTCTAAACTTACACAAGTTTGGATTACCATAAGGACTGTTATCCATTTCTTTGTCGGGACTTGGCGGTCTCATTTCATGATAGTTTGAATTATTATTTGGCTCATTTACATTACTAGGTAAATCTGTCCTTAATTGCCTCTCTAGCGGAGCTGCAACCGGCGGGGTTCTACAAATGGTTACTTGCTTTTAGCTAATGAAATTGATTAAAAAAAAACATTGAGCTAACTCACGGCGGGTAAGGATTCGGTTCATCACATCCATCAGTATCACTGCAATAAGCAAAACGCACAGGTCTTATGCTTTAAATTATTTTTAGTCATACAAATAAAAAACAGTATTGAAGTGCTCACCTTGAATTCGAAAATGGAGCCGATTTTGGTCTTACAATCACTTCTTTTGTAAACGATCGACGAGCTTTTATGTGATCACCTAAATATGCTAAATAATTATACATTGGCCATTGCGATGTAATACTTGGATCATTGTATTGGTCCTGTAACATTTCTACTCGACGTTTTTCCAAGTTATAACGATTGCGTAGTTGAACCATACGATTTTTTACTATAGCAACTGTCGAAATTAAGAAAGCCCTTAATATTTTTAAGTATTAAACTACATCTTTACCTACTGTTGATATTTAAAAATACCTTCGCATATACACACTATTTGAAGAATCTTATCTTACCATTTTGGCCCACACTCTCAGCCATATCCATCCACATTCCATCCAAGTAATCTCTATTCCTATATTGAGGATGATTGCGATCATAAAACGCCGGTCTTTGTTGAAATTCACGTGCAAGCAGCACATCGATATCATCTAGCGCGGGTCCTTCACCGCGACGTGGGCGTCCACGTTTCCGTCTTCCAGCCATTAAAAATTTTTGTTTTTTTACAAACGCCCAAGTGTTACTCAAAATCGATACTTTATAAAACAAATAATATATTTTGTTCTATTTTTATATTCTTCTATGTCGCGTTTTGTTAATTTTTATTTACTGAAGCGTTCATTGCAAAATAGAATTAGTTCGATGTTAACATATTTCCCTTGACCGCTTTTGGAAAGAAGTTTTGTTAATAATTGTAAAAATTATCGCTAGAAAATAAAAATATACAAAATGTAGAGGTGCCACTGGTTTTTTTTTTTATTACAATAACATATGAATCTTTAATAATATTTTTTACCAAATTAAAATTTGAGACAAAACCTTATTTTAGCTGAATTAGTTTTTCTCCTTAACAATTTGAGATTACTTTTGGCAGAGTTACCGGCTCACTAAGTACGAAATGAGTAATTAATATATTTAGACAAATAATAATAAATTTAAAAATGTAGGAACTTTTTTAAGACATATTTTACGTAACCAAATTTTACACATAGAAATAACATTAATTAATAAAACAAAAATACTTTACAAAACACAAAACGTATTAAAATAATAAAGACGGTTATTATATTAAGCAAAATAAAATATATTTAAGGAAGATGGTTGACAATTTAAAACGTCCTCTTATTATTATTTTTTTTTATTTGTAAAAGAAATATTAATAATTTATATATTATTTAAGCTTTATGAAAAATAAAGTATGGTTTAACATTAAGTGCTTATATATATAATATTTATATATTCAGTTAATATCCACCATGCATATCTGTTTATTATATTTAGTCAGCTGATATATAATGTCTAAAATTGTCAATATTTCTTGACGTATGTATATCCAATGAACTTATTTCTATAATTCGTTCGGTTATATTATAAAATCGTTTGAACATCTTCCTAGATAAATTTACTATAAACCGATTTTCTTACAATTAATATATGTTTCACTAAACCATTCAGTACGAAATGGTTGATGTACAAATTGGGCGACGAAATGCCTGCATTGTTGTACTTGGCGACATCGGACGTAGTCCACGCATGCAATACCACGCCGTTAGTTTGCTCGAAGATAATTATAACGTCGACTTTATTGGCTATATTGAAACAAAACCGCTGGACGACCTAACTAATGCACATCACAAATGCAAAATACATGAATTATCACCAGTGCCAGTAACAAACCTCACCCCTAAACTGAAGTTAATTTTCAAAACATTTTGGCAGACTTTAAGTTTGCTCATAGCGCTAGTTTCCATTCGTCGTCCAAACTTTTTACTTGTGCAAAATCCACCAGGTGTTCCAACCTTAATAGTTTGCTACCTATATTGTGCGTTTACTAGGACAAAATTTATCATTGACTGGCATAATTACACTTACACTATATTAGCTTTGGGCACCGCGAGCGGTGAAAAGAGTTATTTTTGTCGTTTAGCTAAATGGATTGAACGTTCATTTGGGGGCAAAGCAAATGCACATTTTTGTGTTACCAAAGCTATGCAACAGGATTTGTTGCTAAATTGGAATATTGGGTAAACATAATGTACATACCAAAAATAATATTAATTTATACCATTCTTTAGTCCAGCAGTTGTTCTATATGATAGACCACCCACACAATTTCATCCGATTGACTTGACTCAAAAGCACGAACTCTTTATGAAATTATCGAAAGTATATCCAGAATTTCTACCAAAATGTTACGCGGATCTAAAAGAATCGGGAGTTATTGAGACAACAGCATTAACACAAAAATTAATTAATGGGAATGTTTCATATAAGCCACAAAGAATGGCTATTGTTGTATCGAGCACTAGTTGGACGCCAGATGAAGACTTTGAGATTCTACTTAAAGCATTAGAAGGTGACTTTATTTACATAACATTGTTTCTACTACTGTCATAAAAATTATTAAACTAAATATTATTGTTCAGATTATGAAAGCACCGCCACTTCGCGTCCAAATAATTTCCCTGCCATTTTGTGCATTATCACCGGAAAGGGACCACAGAAACAAGAATATGAATGTAAAATTTCTAAACTTAAGTGGTCTAAAGTTTCAATTATAACACCGTGGTTGGACGTGGAAGATTACCCTCTCATTTTAGCTTCCGCTGATTTGGGAGTATGTTTACACTATAGCAGTAGTGGCTTAGACTTACCTATGAAAGTTGTTGATATGTTCGGCTGCGGGCTGCCGGTTTGCGCTTATAATTTCAATTGGTGAGTCAACTCTCTAAACTCACCTTTATTTAGAAGTCCTTATATACATAAATAATAATTAATAAATATGTGCTCCCCTAAGCCTTGGCGAATTGGTAACCCACGGACAGAACGGATTCATATTCGAGAATCATAAAGACCTGGCCGACCAACTAAAATTTTGGTTTGAAAACTTTCCTAGTAATCCAAATATATTGGAATCAAAAGAACGATTTCGTAAAATTTTGCACGAATTCCAAGCATTGCGTTGGCATGAAAACTGGAGAAATAACGCGCTACCTATATTTAATTCTTACACTTAATACAATTTTTATAGTAAATATTTCCGTAAGTCTGCTTCAATATTTTCCTATATCATTTATTAATGTAATTATTATCGTTTCTTCTTTTTTGTTTTATATACGCTGTGTAATTTTAAGATTCGATTTGTGAAATAAACATTTTTTAATACATTTTACAATTATTTTTTAAGACAAATTTAAAACATAGCTATATATGTGAGTTCTTAAGATGAAATCATTTATATAAACTCATATAGTAAAAAGAAATTAAAATATGTCAAATAAGATACCTTCCGTCTTTATATAAACTGCTATACTTCTTGCCATCATCATGTCTATTTTTCCCATTTATATAAAAATATTTAATAAATAGTTATCGGCGACAAATCAAAAAGAAAAATCTTGTAAGATATGTATAATATTCAGAATCTCTCACATTTGTTGGCGGCACATTGGACAATTTTTTGTATACTGCTTACACTCTTTGAAGCAATCATCGTGCATGGCATGCCCGCAACGCAGATATGTCATATTATCATTCTTCATTTCCCTAAGACAAATGACACAAGCATCTCCGGGAGATCTGCAATTGTGAAACCAATTTATAAGCTTATAACGAAATAAAATAAATGCGTTTACGAATTAAATCTTTGTGTATATTCACTTTCGTCGCTTGTACTTTTTCGGCGTGGTTGATAGGCAATCGGTTGTGGGCGCACAAGTAAAAAAGCAACCAGTCCGACGCAAACACCCAACATCATTTGCCATATAGGAATCATAGTTCAATTTGTTTTTATATACAGATTATACCAAGTTTTATGTAATGTTCGTAATAGCACCGCTTGTAAAACAATTGCTTTTGCGCGACAATTAATAAAGTCAAAATCTCAAACAGTGAACAACAATGGAGTACCGAAGGTAACCATTCATAATAAAACCAACATGGCAGCCTCTGGTGTGTTGGGGTGGCGAGAGGTTAAAACGGTTTGCACATACCAAAAAACGCCGTAATAATTATTTATAAATATTTCCTATTTTGGTTAGAGAATGATGTTTAATGCTGTTAACAAAATATGATATTATAGCATGTTGATATAGGTAAATATGAGGCATATTTTTAAGTATTTTAATTAACTTATTAATCGACAATTCAATTAAACTATGAGTGGACGGAAGAAATAACTATTGTAACAGAATTTGATATTATAAGTCATAATAATTCATATAATCAATAAAGCCAAATTTACCATTGTCATACAAGTCATAATAATTCATTTAAACAATTAAGCAAAATTTATTATTGTAGAATTTAAGTACACACTTATATAATCAGAAATATTATTTATGTTTTTTATTTCAGCATTTAGCGGTGAAAACATCTACAGTATTTTATTACAATTCAAATTACCGTATTATTATATAGTTTAAAAATATATAGACTTCTTATATAAATTGTTTGTTGAAGTCGCAATATCTTTGTAGTATAAAATACGGTAGGCACGCCAGGTAGCTGTCTCTGTATTTCAGCATTTAGCGATGAAAATATGTGCAATATCTTTATGGTATATAATCCGGTAGATATATTTTTTTCTTAAAAAGTAGCTTAAAATTAGCTTACGCAACACTGTTAGCAATGCTCAATAGCAAGACTGGCAACACATTTGAATATTTGTGAAACGGGCGAACTTATTTTTTGAGAAGTTTTTTTTTTATAATTATTAATATAATTATTTTATGGTTTTTTTTCATAGAAACATTCATTACCACTTATATTAGATCAAAAGGTTAGTATTAATTTTTATAATTTAAATTAAAAGCAAATACTAATGGGAACTTCTTTACAGAAGGAATATGCCACGCAAGTGCATCCGAAGCTGCAAAGGCACGTTACGTCATTACAAATTTCCTTTATGCCTTACAAAATTTACTTTATATGCATTAATACACACCTGCTTATTAATAAAATTTCTTGTGTGAGCAATTTTATCATTAGCATTATAAAATATTCAATATTTTAGGAAGATTGTTTTGCAAATTTATAAACCCTGTCCTCAGTTTTGTTGAATAAGCATTTTCTGCATCCCGCTATTTGACAAGGTTGCTTAATTGCAGCATACATTTTTCTGTGGTGTATATTTATTAATTTACCACAGTTGAAAAGAGGTATAAATATATATCTTAATTATGCTCGAATTTTCCAATTATAGCCGATCCTTTAAGAACATATATTACAATAAACTGATTTTATTTTGAAATAATATTAAAGTTGTTCATAAATTAAAAGAATATAGCAATATGCAACCATTTTCCGGTAAAAAGTCGGCCCTCTTTGGTGCCCATAGAAACCCAACTCTTAGGCGGACTTGACATTTTTCCATGGACACCCGCCAACGCAACTACCGTAATAAGAGTATCGCTAGCGCTCAGCAATAGCCAAGCGACGCTAAAAGTGGAGGAGTGCATAGGAAGGCTGAACCGACTATCAGCTTACAACCGTGTACACCTGATCTGTGTGCCGGGGCATAAAGGGGTAGCCGGAGAATTTTTTGTACCAATACAAGAATGAGAGACATTCATATCTAATTCTATATTTGGCAAAATTTGTGCTATCGATTTTTTTGTCTAAATTGATGATATAAATTTTAAATTAAGTGAAAATGCACGCAATTTAAATTTGTTATTATAAAAATGAAGAGTATGGCATCAACACCAATCATATGTTCTTTATTTATTATTTTATATAGCTTTATTTACATCAGGGATAAAATTTACATGCGATTATGAATTTCATTTGAATGTTTCCGTTTAATTCTGGCTGGTGGTAGTCTTGTTTATTCGTTCGCTTTTTTACCACAACTAATTATAGTGGAAATAAATTTTTCTTACATTTTAAAAAACGACCAAATTTTATACCGACCAAAACATGCGACTGAACGAGAACACAAAAATCATTGGGAAGAAAGTTATTTTAGTACCATACCGTGTAGCACATGTTGAAAAATACCACGAATGGATGAAATCGACGGAACTACAAGAGTTGACTGCTTCAGAGCCCCTCACGCTTCAAGAGGAGTATGAAATGCAACGAAGTTGGCGCGAAGATGAAGATAAATGTACATTTCTTATTTTATGCCGAACTACTTATGAACAAAGTAATGATGAAATTTACTCATTGGTGGGGGATACAAATTTATTCTTAAGAATGGAGAATGGTAGTGAGAAAACAAACGAATGCTATCAAGTGGCTGAAGCAGAGATAATGATAGCAGAACCAGAAGCTCGCGGTAAAGGTTTTGGATGGGAAGCAATGCTTTTGTTTTTGAAATATGCTTTACAAAATTTAAATATTAAAAAATTTGAAGCCAAGATTGGTACCAAAAATGAAAAGTCTTTACGCATGTTCAATAAAATGCACTTCAAAGAGGTATCACGCTCGACTGTATTTGAAGAAGTCACCTTGGTTCTAATGGTCGATGATGAGTGGATCAAATGGTTGGACAGGCAGGTGACTTTGCATTGTGAAAATTACAGAAGTATCGGTTTATGTGGTTAGTAGAAATAAATGATCATAACATTTAATGTAAAATTTGTAAATTGTATTTGGTTTATGATTATTTTGATTATTAAGAAAATATTTATGTACATGTGTATCTAAATCCCAAAAATATTTGATTGTTGGGTATATACTATTTTAATGAGAGTTACAGTGTCTACAATCACATTTTAAGAATATAGAAGTCGAGAAAAATTATGTTATATATTCAAGTTTCTTCGATTGTTAACGGAGAAATTTTTTGGTTGCAAACCTAGAATTCGTTCGAAAACTTGAACTTAAGAATCTTAACTATCCACAAATTCCAAACACTAGTTATGTGTGTCTGTGTCCAACGATACTATATTCAGTATATGAAGTATGAAAAACATTTTGCTTGAAAATTTTAAACAATATTTATAATTTATTTCCTTTTCGATTAATCACAAATGCCTAAAAATAAGATTAAACACTCAAAGAATGTTCACTATGAAGCAAACAATAAAGGCAGAATAATTATCAATTATCAATATTAACTATGGCGATAAAATGATATTCATAAAAAAGTATTGTGTACAAATGAATAACTCAGTAATTTCACAGTACAAAATTATCGTTTACCAAAATTGAAAAATACATATGTATTTAAATTTATATAAAAAGCCATTTTATGCTTTTAATACCTATTGCTTCTTTAATTTACAAAATTCAAAAAAAATAAACGAAATAAAATTGGAGTAAAAAGCTTTTAAAACGGCTGAACTTATATAGATCTACTTCAAAATATTCTTTCTTGAAAGCATAAACCAACATTTTTATGAAAACAAACTGCATGTATTCTTACAATATCCGCTTAAATAATATAATAAATTTGATATTCATTTGTAAGGCTAATAAAAATTAAGAAGCAGTCGTCTTTAGTTTGCCTAATTCTGTATGTTTCTGTTTTCTTTTTTATTTTTGTGATGAACTGAGCAGAATTCAATTATTTACTTATAATTTTTGTATACGTATTAATGTTACTTCAAATATGTATGAATCTGTTTGATTGAGGGCTTGTTTAAGCCATCGCACGTGGACCATCGATTGGCATTCTATGTAACACTTCGTCCAGCAGCTGTAGAGCTCGATGCAAATGCACTTCTATCCAACAAGGTGTCTCCTTAATTGATTGTCTTGGATAATCAGGTCCCCAGCCTTTGACAAAACTTAAACGTAAAATACACAAACGACGTAAATCATCAACACCAATACCAGCAGCAGCGGTAATGTCTAGAAGAGCGAATTTTACAAATAAGAGATTGTAAGTTAAAAACCTAAAGTAATTTATCTCGTTTACTCACTTCGCGGCGCTCCGCCCATTTGTGAACTTGGAAGTCCAGCAACCGCTGCAGCTTGTGCAGCTGCAGCTGCTTGTGCATTTGTCGCCAATGAATGCATTTGTTGATGGCACTGACGCAAATCAAAAACCTACGATTATAAAATTTTGACGTTAAAAAATTATTATTATCTTTTTAATTATTCGCTCACTTTAATACAGGCAACGGGATATATTTTATGTACAGCGTCGCCTGGAGTGCGCCCAGCTTCACGATCGAGATAGTAACTTTGTACAAAAACAGAATTGTCACTGAGACAGCGCAGCCATACGTCCCCTTCACCGCGCAGATCCAGTTGAACCCCTTTGCCAATGTGAAGTCTAGAGAAAAAAGAAAATACATAATAACTAGACATGTGGATACTGATCCGCTGAAACCTACCTGGCCCGTTCCGATTGTTCTGTGCGATGCACATTGCTTAATGCGCCTAGACAAAACCGATTGCCACCCGAAGGATCGACATAACCGTCGATAATGACATTTGGTTTCGCCGATGGCACTTTAAACGTTTCCCCCACCTGTGTGTCTAACTCGAAGTAAGCGATGGAACACCAATATTCTGGAGCTGGCTGACGAGACAACATGCGTGGCTGTTGTTGTTGTTGTTGTTGGTTGCCACTCATATCACCACTCAATGGCGCATTCCCTTTACACAAAAATATACTATAAAAGTGGATCAAGAATATATAATATTTAAACCTTACAATATCCTGTTGAATGTGTTCGTGGATCAGGTGGTTGCATTGATTGCGTGTAGGTGAGTGTACTGGATCCAGTCCACGTACCACCTGCACCCACGGTCCCACCAGATACTACTTGTCCACCAGAATTGGTTTGTGTGGCAGATTGTGGTCCATTGGCTCCAACATTACCGGCACCTCCCACTTGCTGGCTATAATTGGATGGCGCACCGGCACCCGTTACATAACCATTTTGTTGTAGATGGGGAGAATGTGGCTGTTGTACACCACCGCCCGGGCCGGCGTTATTCAATGCAGCATTAAATTTGGCTTCGGCGACATTAGGCATCTGGGATGTTGTTGGCGGACCATAATATGCCCCTTGATTCGGACCAGCTGTTCCCGCACCGCCACTAACATTTACAACGACACCATTATTGCCACCGCCACCAGCGCTCTGAGCTTGCTGCAATGCATCACTTGGAGAGTTTGCTTGAGTATGATGGCCCGCTCCAGTTAAAATATTGCCGTTTGGGCCGTTGACTTGAGGGTTCTGCAATTGAGGCGGGGGAGGCGGGCCCATAACGGGACCCCCGGAGTTCATTGGTCCAGCCAGCGGCATACCATGTGAAACAGCTAACATAAAAGAAAATATTTTATATCATACAGCTTTTAAGCAAAAGTTTCGATTTAATTATTTCGTTGAGATTACGAAACACGTCAAACAAAAAAATAATATACATGGTGCAAATGAATGGGCATATAATACATAAATTACTTTTATGATAAATAAATAATATATATGTATAAAAAAAAGAACCAAATAAATTGCAAAAGCTTACAAAGCGAGTGTTGGGAAACTTGGGCCGCGCGCTGTTGCTGCTGTTGCTGTGATTGTGGTGGTTGTGGTTGCGGTGGTTGTGGCTGCGTTTGTGGTACTGGCTGTGGCTGACCCAACCGTGGCGGTGGCGGCACCATCCAAGCACCACGTGGCATACCGCTACCATCGCCAGGTTCAATTTTTGGTATTGTGCGCCCCGCAACGAACATAGAGTTCATTGTGTGATTTGTATCAGCAACTAAAACATTTAATTAACAAAAATGAAAAATGAAAAAAATATACCCATGTCCCGTAATTAATGATAAATATAAAGTCAATAACAAAAGTGCAAACAAATAGGAATAATGAAAGATTAAAACATATTTGTAAATTATAATACCTCCTCCTTGGGGGTATCCATAGCCAGGACCAACTAATTGTGATGGATGGTGTTGTATTGTACCAATGTCATTTCCATCTATGTCCATGCCTCCCACTAATGGGCCAGCCGAGTATTCATCTTTTACCAAACGACTAGGTCCGGACTGTAGGCTTAGACCAGATAAATCAATGCCTGGTGATACAACTCGCTCATAATGATATGGATTCACGCACACTGAATCACATTTGAGATCAAAAGCATATGCACAGTATTTAACGTGCTTTAATTCATTTTTATGAAGATCTGGCCAACGCCAAATACGTGCATATATAACATGCGGAAAACCTTTTCGCCCTGCAACCTAAAAATATGGATTGAAACAATTGCTTATTAAAAAATAGATCAAGTAAATATGGATATAAACTAAAGTGGTATAATCTTAAAAACAAAAGTAGAAATCAATCATAGTTATATCTATATGTATTTAAGTACAAATGTAATAAATGATGAAATCACCTGCAATCTACCATCAAGCGTTCGCTGGATAGTCACGCATTTGCTGGGATGTGCACCATTTGTTGTGATGGCCGTTATCAGCGAATCCAATTCATCACGCTTTTCTTTTAACTTTTTTACCAGCGATTCTATAGCCCGTTTTGCAAAGCCTTCACTTTCTCCACCTTGCCGATGGCACATTAATGAATGAACAATGCTAAGACATGCATCTGCTGATGTGGGAGCATTTGACGGAGGTGGTGGCATCTGTACCATGTCGCGCACTATTAACGCTAAGAGAATTGACGAAATAGTAATTAGATTTTTATATATATGTGTCTATAAATTAAGTATTTACTTACTATCTTGTGACGGCACTGGTCCGTATAAGTGACCACCAGGTCCACCTGCACCACCCCCGCCCGCTAAGCCCACCATACCTGCGTAGTCCTGGGGAACACCCAGACCGCCCCGGGCATCCACTTTGCCGGTGTTCGGGCTATCGCCGTCACAAAAGCTAAATCCAGATGACGACCACAAATTGACTGCTCTTTTTAGGCGGACACTTAGCCGCCAACGAATCCAGACGGGAAAATACGTATATAAAATTAAAGTAAATAATTTAAGCGTTGCAAATTATTCTGCAATTGAAAGTGAAGGAATTGATTTATTAACACAATTTAGTCTTATGAAAGCACTGCAAGTATTTCAAGTTCTCGCTCTATTCGATTAAAATTAAGACCGTAAATTAAGATTCCTCTCTGCTATATTTAATTTTAAGAGTCCACGAATATATTTATTATGTTCATCAGTATATTTTACTACAATAATTTTCTTTTTTCCAGTCTTGTCCTTCGAAAATCATAGCGAAAATTCCCTCACTTCTTTTCTTTCTTATGTTTTATTTCACTTTTTCTTCACGCACACATTTATATGCTGCAGTTCTATTTTTATGCACAATTGATCGTAACGCAGCTTGTGGTCAATTGCAAACAACGCCCGCCTTGCGGCTTAATTTCAAATTCGCAAGTTTGTATTTTTAATTTATTTTTGCTGCTTCTTTACATTCTCACAATTCCAAACAATTTTCTTTGTCCATTGTCAACTGTGTCGCAGTTCGTCACTCGTCGCTCTCCACCATCTACACTCGCAAACGAATCCACAAAAAAAACTACACTAATTAGATACAATTTTCGTGAAACATTTTTCTTTTTTCGCGAGCATTACGGATGCTTCTGTACATAAACGAAACGCGCACAACTGCACGATATTATTAAAAAGATGTTTATACAAATTCCAAACAATTAATTAGCGTATTTACACATAAATTATTATTTTTATCAGACTGCCGCAAAATTTCCCTTGCGTTTTTCTACGAAGAAAATAAATATGGCGCCAGTGCACTTTTTCGTGGAATTCTAATATTAGGAAGTATATGGAAAGTAGTATTAAAAAATACCTTATGATTGACAGCTGTTAGCATGCGAATAACAGGAGAAGTAAAACGATAGATTAGTTTTTGACGTGATGTGTCAGTTTTTATTCAGTAATTTTTGCTAAATTTTGTGAAAATAGTGACATTTAACGGAATATTAAATATTGATATACTATGCAAAACGAATACATTAATTAAAATTATACAAAATGAAGCATTCTACTTCACCCACACCATCACTGGCTGGGTCCAGTTATGCGCCATCATATGCAACATCTCGCGGACAATCGCCACTACCGCCGCCAGCAAATCATACAAGAAATTGTCTATCAGCAACAAGCAAAAGTTACAAATACCTACGGCGATTACTCAAGTTTAACCAAATGGACTTCGAGTTTGCTGTTTGGCAAATGATATATTTGTTTATATCACCGCAAAAAGTTTATAGAAATTTTAACTACAGAAAACGTGAGTGTTACATTATATACAAGTATGGTGGCAAAATATCAAAATACAAAATATTTATTATATTCATTTAGAGACTAAATCACAATTCGCCAGAGATGATCCTGCTTTTTTAGTTTTACTTGTAGTTTGCCTCTGTGGTAAGATCCTAATTACCGAATGAACATGTTGCAATAGTTGTAATGTCTTTCATACTTCTGATACTCTTAACAGTAACCTCTGTGGTACTCGCATGGACAATGGGACTAAACTTTTTGCAGAGTATTTCATTCATTTTATATGTTGTATTTGTGGATTGCATCTTTGCGGGCATCATTGTAGCTTCGTTTCTCTGGGTAGTAACGAATCGTTACTTGCGCAGCAGTAGTTTAGAACCTGATATCGAATGGGGCTATGCTTTTGATGTTCATTTAAACGCTTTCTTTCCACCACTGATACTGCTACACTTTATTCAGCTGTTTTTCTATGATTGGGTTATAAGCCAGCCATGGTTTTTTTCGCGTTTACTTGGAAACACATTTTGGCTTTGCGGGCTGAGTTATTACATTTACATAACATTTTTAGGCTACAACTGTAAGTATATGTGGATATATATTAACACTAATAATTGAAACATGTATCTCCTTCAGGTATACCACATTTGAAAAACACGCGCCTGATTCTAATACCTTTACCCATAATATTTCTTTTCTATCTGGTGACTGTGATCATTGGCTGGAATGTGACGATTTCATTTATTAATTTTTACAAGTATCGTGTTTACTAGAAATTTACAAAATAAGTTATATACGCATTATTAATAGAATTGTTTATTTATATACTTATAAGAAAGTTCACTACATATTTATGTAGACATAGAAAGATGTGTAATATTGATATTTCTCAGAATATAAACTGAAAGTTTTTATTTACAAAATCGTATTTCAACTTTCGTATATATGATTTAAATTACTCATAGAAAGTACATGTTTATTGATTTTGAAAGAAAAAAACAGTAACTATAATTTGATTAGATCTACGCCAATTTGGTGGGTTTGACAAAAGAACGTTTACGCTTGTTCCGTTTTCGTTGCAATTCAAGGCTGTGCAATTGGGAGTGCACTTCTACAAATATTTCTTTTTGTTCTTCCTCGGGAATTGAAGCGCGATACTGTTTCATCATATCGAATTTTTCCCATGGTTTTTCATGTGCTAATGCCTGTCGACGTTGCTTGTCAGTAATGTACTGGTCCACATTAGCTACTCCCTGTAGGTTCTGCCGTTCCCACCGCTCCAACCATGGTCGTGGGCGCAATACTACTTTAATATCATTTACTGGCACTTCAGCACTATCATCTAAATTCTCCGGTTCTAAATTTAAATCAACAGTGCTATATTCAGGCAATGCGTCGCGTAAATATAGCAGATGGTCATCCAAACGCTTTTCCAGGCGAATTACTTCAATTTTATGTATAGTTGGATCGTACAACTCGTAACGTACCTCAACACCTTGGTGATCAATAACGTTGCGTAATATGAAACGAGCTCGAAGACCACAACGATCACGATGAATACATATACCTGGAAAATTAAATATCATATATTTCATTAAAAAAAAGCAGACCCTACAATTACAACAAACAAATTTTGCACTTACCCACGAAACGACTGATTTTACCGGCTGCATGAGGATCAGAGCTTGTTACAGCTAGTATTGAACCGACATAGAATTCCGGAATGTCAATTTTAGTGCGACGGTCTAGCATGTCCATGCGCTCAAGTTTCTCACGCACTGGATTACGCCATTCGACTTTGGGATCCGGTAAAAATTCTGGATAGATAAAACGATAATTTTGTGGAATAACTGATTTACGTCCTTCAATAGACCCTGTAGAGCTTGGCTGACTTTGTTTTTGAATGAAAGGTGGTAATTCATTTGGCTGAGGTTTTGTTGAAAATGTGACTGCATAACAAGTAACAAAAATATAACAAATCGTCATTAATTCTATGTCGATAAATTGTATATACCGATTCTAATAAAACTGTTTCCTTTCTTCCAACTGGGCGTAAGTACACGGTTTGTTATATTCATTTTTAACAAATTGCAATGATTAAATTGAATTTCGATACAATATTCCTCCGGTCTACCGATTGTGGTTATTCTTGTAAGTTCTCTGATTCAGTAACCTGACATTAAATGTCAAAACAAATCAGATGTTAAATCGTGCTATTACAAAATTGCAATCATTGTAAAAGATGCAGCTTTGTAATTGCATTTGGAGTGTGGGTGAAATATTTTTTACTTTTTTACTCATTCCGACATGTTATGAATTAAAAAAAAAAATTCTATATTGCATTTCACGTATAATACATTATGTTATAACTATGAAATTACATAGAAAAGGGAAAATTTGTATAAGCTGGGTAGCCAATGAAAGATATGGCATTTTTTATACTAAGTTGGCAACGCGGTTTATTAATGTGTTGGTGACTTGTGCGTCGAAATTCAAGAAATTTCTTTAAATATTATACTTTAAAAATACATATTTAAAAATAAGTGACTGTCACCCAACAAATATGTGTTGATATAACAAATAGATGTTACAGAACTTTGCATTGTTCAGAATTATTATTTTACAGAAAGGCATCGACTACATGATGCCTATTTACACATATGAGTGTACATGTGTACTACGTCTGTGTGCGTTCATTAAATCTTGATGAAAGTATATAAAGACCGTCATTTCACAAACAGATTTGGCTTCGTGTTGTGCTTTGCGAAGTCTTTTCAGGTGTATTATTCTCCATGCTGGATGGAATAAGAATGAAAAAGCCATGCGCTAGGATAATATGTTTTCATACTTGTAAACACTGTTCTAATGTGGGGTGAAGGACATTGTAAAAACTTTGTTTTGTCAGCGACTACAAAAGGTAGAATACACAACTGCACACGTGTCAAAGGCCTTGCGACGCTTACGTGAGTGTAAACGAGATAGATAGACCACTAGAAAGGTGGAACTGTCGAAGCAGGCAGTATTCGCGACAATCGTGGGAATTTCTTAGCACGAATTTTGACGAGCCATTCGAAAAGTGCTATTTTATGTGAACAGACGTTATAAACATTACGTTCGTTGATGTTGCATTTCTTAGTAAAATTAAACATTTACTTCAGTTACATGAATTTGTGACTTTTTATAGCATTAGCTTAAAGAATTACACGTGCCGCAAGAATAGTGATATTTCAACCACAATAATTTTTCTTTGCAATCTAGTGTTTTGTGCACTCGTGACGATCCGGTATTGCCCCTCCACCGCCGTATGTTTTGCGTTATACCTTTCGTCTTGCTACATATCTAACATTGACACCGCTATTTGTATTGTACTTATTTACATATTCACAATCATTGCTGTTGTAAAAAGACTCATTTCAAAGTTGTGGACTAGTCTTATTTTGTTAGTTCTGTGAGCAGACAACGGCCTCAAACTGGCGGAAAAGAAGGTCGCTTTGACATTATGCCAGACTTCTGTGGTAAGTATGATGAAAATGCAGTGGATATTTTCTGCCAAATCTGAAAGTGGGAGTCTTAGCATATTTCATATTAAACAATTTATTCGCGTACACCACATATGTAGAGATATCAACCGAATTAGTTGTATTTTTGCCACACATATATAAATAAGTTATTTATTGTTGAATTGTTGTTAATAATAAGGTTAAACTTTTAAGTGAGAACAGGGAAATCTCTACAATGAAATTCTGAATTATTCTTGGATGCGAATATGGTAGGAATTAAAGCACTTTGAATGATTTGCCTTGCTACGAAAGTAAAGGTAACACTCTAAAAAATAAATCAGCTGTTTTGTGTTTACAAAGAATACTGAAACTAGCGAAACGTTATTTAATTATCAATAATCAGGTATATTTAGTTACTCTGAAGGACTAACCACGCACATCTCTGAATAGTTACGTACCATACATTACCAATTTTTTTAATGATTTTTGTATTGCTTGCCTACTGCAAGGAGTAATGTACTAACATTTAAATAACAGATGATTTCATATTTTAGAATGAATGTTAGATTTTATATTATGTATTGTAGTTTAAAGTTTTTTAAATTTTGAAATATACATACGACAACATAAACATCAGTACTATAATATTCGGACGAGGAGTTTGAATATGTATATACATCGGATGTACATTTGCCACTACTTGAACAAATGTGCATTACAAGTAAATTGAAGTGCTTCTTGTAATAGTATGGTGTATCAGCTTAAGCGGGAAAAACAAACTGAACTCACTTTAAAACCACTTTCACTTTTATGTTGTGGTTCAGTTTGGCATACATACATACGCGTATGTAAACTTTGCCATAATAATAAATTTATAGTATGAGTAATTTACTACTATCAATTATATCCATGGAAATCATAAATTAATAGCAATTAGTAATTTTTTATTACAACAATCTGTGTATCCTTTTTAGCTAAAAGTGTACTATGCTGTAATCGAAGATGTAATCGCTAATGTGCGCGACGCCTTTCTGGATGAGGGCGTCGACGAACAGGTTTTGCAAGAGATGAAACAAAATTGGCGGGCTAAACTAATGGCAAGCAAAGCTGTGGAAATAAATCCCGAACCTCCAGAACCACAACCGCCACCAATTATAGCCAATAATCCGAAGGTATGGTGCTTGACTTCTATTATTCGTTAAATAAAAGAAAATATTATTAAATTCAAGTAGCTTTATTATTATATAGATCGATTTATTTAAAAATAAAAGTGTGAACATTTTTTGTCAGCCAAAATCGTATAGACATTTTGCAATCGGCTATTAATTTTCTTTTATATTAAAGACATTGAAAATGTTAAATATGTTAAGTTGTCCTAAATTCATATTATAATTTTAGTATTGTTAATAGTGTGCATTATACACGTTCGACAAGTTCAGTTCAGTTCTGTTCAAAAAGTAATTTTATTATATTCTTTATTATTAACTAAGAACTCTAAACAGTTCTGTGATTCTTGATATTTTAAAGGAATATACGAATAATTATTTAAATGATATAACACCTTTTTCTCCCCAATTTCTCTTCGTGATTTCTACTGAAACAACAAATGCTACAAATAATTATAAATATTACGTTTACACATATATTTTATAACCGGAATTTATATAACGAAACATAATTTACTTTGCCAAATATTGACCATTTAAATACGTTCCAATTTGAATATTGCTCAATGAATTCGTCAACCTATGTTTGTATGTGTTCGGCTGTGCATTTTACATTAACATACTTATTCCTACGAAACTAATGCAACACAATATTATTACAACAAAACCACATTTGCAACACTTCTTGGATACTACCACATATGATCCATTGATGGAACTTTTACTCACATAGCCATCAAAGGTAATTGAGTCACTCAACTTGTTGTATATATGAGTAATATATAAACATTTTTATATGATCCATATCCACATTTTTATAACATCCCCAATTTCGGCTAACCGTTTGATAGATTTTAATCCAAAATTGTTTTTAATTTTATTACATATCTACAGTTTATTTGAAAATTCCAAATTTCCTTCAAACAGTCCCTCTATCCAAAAGTTGTCTTACACTTATTTCTTGTTGCAAACTAATAAGATAATTTTTCCAAACGATGCTTATAGGCTGCCACCGCCAAAGCTAAGAAAGCAGCAGCGGCTGCCGCTGCAGCTGCAGCTCAACAAAACAGCAGTAATAGTGCAACGAGTAGTGGCACTAACGCTAATGCGTCCAGCGATATAAAACCAAGCATTACGCAGCTACAGTCGAACATGGTAAATGGAGCTGGTACTATCGTTGGTCCGACCACATCGGCCGCAGCCAACAACTCGGCCGCAATGAATGGAGGTCTTAAACAGGAGCTGGGAAAATCAGTGTCGACGCTAAGCGGCGGATTGGGCAACAGCTTACAGAAATCGAATGTGATTGGCAACGCGCAAACAGGTGCAACACCTGTAGCTTCTTCGTCAGGAATAGGCGGTGGTGTAGGTGGCTCACAGCAACAATCAACAAATTCCACCATACCGATTGTAGCCACACTTGATCCTAATCGCATTATGCCTGTAAACGTGAGTAACACTTCCATTATTGAAAAAAAAAGAATAACGTTTAGCAAGTTTGAATCTGTATATATGGAATATAAATATATTGAGAACCTTTATTTTGCAATCCAGATAACATTACCCGCTCAAACTGGCTCCATGAACACAGAATCTCGCGTACTCACCATACACGTGCCAGCATCGGCGCTTCAAGATAATCAACTAACACAAATATTGACCGCGCATTTAATTTCGTCTATAATGTCGTTGCCAACAACGCTGGCCTCCTCGGTGCTGCAGCAGCACGTGAATGCGGCACTCATAAATAGCAACATGCAGAGTAAGTACAAGTAAAGGGCAACTATTATATATGTATATAAGGGTGACTATTTTTAACAAAGCACATTAAGTAATTGATCGCCTTATAGTTTTTATGTTTCTATTATATATATGGCACATGTGTATGTAGTTGTTAATGTCGTAATTTTTAAATTTTCAGAAAGTTTTAATGCTTCAAAGCAACTTGATGGCGCTGTAGACACTTCAGACGAAGATGAAAGTGAAGAAAGCGATGATAACATGGACAATGATGATGACGATGATTTAGATAAAGACGATGACGAGGACGCGGAAAACGACGGTGGCGCTGAAGAAGAACCGCTCAACAGTGATGATGATGTGACGGACGAGGATGCCAGCGATGTATTCGAAACGGATAACGTTATCGTTTGTCAGTATGATAAGGTAAGCTGTTGATCTTATTATTTATCAGCATTTATTTTGGCAATCATGGATATTCTATGTGTATTTTCATTTGGTTTTACAGATCACACGTTCACGCAACAAATGGAAGTTTTACCTTAAGGATGGTATTATGAACATAGGTGGGAAAGATTATGTATTCCAAAAGTCCAATGGGGACGCGGAGTGGTAAAAACCAATACCACAAGACAGTCAAGTTATTTGCTACTTTTAATGCTACCACACATTTGCTTTCTGTAATTTTTGAGCAATTGTTCATGCCAAAAGTCAAACATTTTTAATTTACTATTGTTATTAATTTACGTTGAATATATTAAGTTCGACATATTTCGCCGACAGACAAAAAACAATAAAGATTTATATGCACCATTGATTTGAGCAGAAATTCCAGTTTGAAAGCCTCTTTCCCAAGCATAATTGCACGCAAATGGAAATAGTTAAGCATGTGTATATATTTTTCTGCATTGTAAGAATACCTGATTGATGATAAACAGTTGAAAGTGCATTGATAACAACAGCAAACCAAACAAATATTTACACAAAATTCGTTATAGATTAGAAAAGTAAAAGCAAAAATGGGATTGATGAGAAAACACATTTACTCTTACATAAAAACGTAATAACTTTGCATTGTTACAAAATTTAACAAAGCTGAAAATAGCTATTTATGTATCTTATTTACACTATTACAAAATAAAAATATCAAATTCAATGCTATAAGAATTGTTCTCTCTTTTGGAAATAATTTTGAAATCCTCGACAGTAGCACCATGCCTATCAGCTGTAAGCACTTTTATCTTATAAGATTTTGTTTTATACAAAATACAACATACATATGTATATAGGTACATACGTGTGTATATTTTTGTTACAACTTCTCGAGGAAACAACCTCAGAAGTATATCCAATGCCGTAGAAGGAAAACCGGGTCTAGTGATGAATGTAGGGAATTGTTTAAGTAAAAAGACATAAAACCCCTTCTTAAGAACTCCGTGTTCGGGAAGAATTGTTTCCGATCTACCCCTCTCTCCCCTTCACTGAGTATATCAATCTCTCTTAATAGCAGAAATATTTTTAGGTATGGTGCAGAGTCGAAAATCGAATTCAAAATTTAAAATTTTGCACTTTTTTTATTATTAATATTTATTAGTATACTTTTTGGGAACCTTTTTACGAAAAAGTCGGTTAATTTATTATTGTAAAATTAAAAATTTGACAAATTTGCAAAAATTTGATTTTGAAAAATAAAAAATTTCCAGCGTTACCTCGTAAATTATTTGTAGAAATAGCTTTCAAAATTTTAATACGCTCATTGCAGTAGCTTTGAAGTTATGAGGGGCACCGACTTTGAAAACGTGAGTTAGCGGGAAAACGCTTTAAAGTCTTGAAATCTGATGTAGAACGTTTATAAGACAGGCATAAAGTCCACTTAACACAAACTTCTTGAGATATTATGCATTCATCAATTCAGCAAGTCAAACAAAAAAAAAACCCTATTCGCCAAAACTATAATATATTAAAATCATTGATTGGTAATTAATTTTAATTTTAATTGTATCCTTTAAAATGTACAGATTAATAGCTTATGAAACTAATTAAAAACAAAAAAAAACATCTGCATTCTTAAATTTACTCTTCGAATACAATCTCCATTCTCAAATTATTACGATTGTTAAAATACTACATTCATATTGTTGTTGTATTTAAAATATTTCATTACCGATATTTTTTCACTTGATTTTTTTTTTATTTAATTATTTATTAGACACAAAACACATAAATTACTAACTGTGCTTAATAGGGACAACAACATTATTTCGTTGCGTGCTTGTTAATTTCATACATTGTTTTTCATTATACCATATACGCTTACTATTAACTATATAAAAATATATGTGCTTTTTAAACTTCTCAGTTTTCCTTTTAGTGTCCATCGGTGTCTGTTCATTTTTTATGACTACAAATATTTTGTTATATAATATTTGCAAATGTGTTGAATAGACAAACTCTATTTAAAATAGCTATAAACGGAAAATAAATCATATATGGCTTATAGTGATTACAAGAGCAGCAATGAGCGTAAACATATCCAGTTACAAAAGTTAACAATAATTCAAAATTGAAATTGAATAAGTTCTCAAAGACACATAAAACCACTAGTGTTGAATAAATCAATCAATCTATCTTGTGGTGCACTTATGAGCAAATTGTTTTTATTATTTTATTATCCCGTTTCCTATATTTTTTAAATTCTACACTTTTAATTTATCAGCAATATTTTAATATATAGCAATTGCTGTTAAAGTGCATGACGTTGAAATAAGTTTCTTTCGAAATACGCCTTTCGGGTTTTATCGATTTTGAAAAAGAAAAATGCAAAAATGGACCAAATATTAATGAAATATACGTTAACAAATAAAATATCCGAGCAAATATATATGTACATGTATATATGTGGCATTTCAATTTCGTCTGTGACTTTATTTACTTGATCATAATAATAATAACAATGTTCAATTTTAAATATAAGCCTAAAATTAATAAAATACAGCTATTTTATCAACACATTAATAATAATCCTTTTCATTTAAATATGATTAACCATACTTTAATATAAACCAAAATTGAATTGAAATTATTTGATTTAATTGGTTAACTTTTTAGCACATTGTTTGTAAAATTCTTAAACATACAAAACACGCTCACCAAACCCCAATACAAAAGAATGCAGCAAGTGCCATACATATTTTTTTTATTTAAAATTAAAGAGTGTCGATATTAGCAATAAGGTTAAAATAACTCTATATTATATATTTATATAACTGTTCTCAAGTGGGGAAGTAGGATTTTAAAATTGTTTATGGCCTAACTATTCATCGAATTTTTTTGTGAGACTTGTGTGTGTGACGCATTTTTCTGTACACTTTCAGGATTTCTCTACTTTGCGATTTGGTTAGCCAAACTTTTTTTTATATAATTTGTGTCGACTTCTAAATGCATAAAATATATTGAAAAATAAAGAAATGCTGCTACGCAAATTTACTTCCATGCCACGTGTTAACTTATGTTATATGATTCGAAATTTATTCAATCTTCAACTTTTAGTTACATATTTGCAAAGCAATTTTTAGTGCCTTTTCTCACCATTGATTTGTGCAGATGGCTAAACTAAATCTAAACAACACATTTCCATACAAATAAAAAAATATTTCATATTCGTACAAACACTAAGTAATTATGTGTGTATCTTTAATTTTTTTATCGATTCCATATATGTTTGTATGTTTAATATTCAGAAAATTATTATCTCACTATTTTTACTTTGATATTAGTACATTATACATATGTATAATAAATTATAAATATTTTATCAGTTATAGCAATTATATACCAATATCGTTTCCTTATTTAATTGCCTGAAGCTAACTGGATGCATACACGATAGAAAGACGCTGTACTACATCTGTCTCAGTAAATAAGAACTAAGAACTTTAGTCAAGTTGCGCTTTCCTGTTTTACCCTAGAGGCGGAAATAAACAGCGCAATGCATTAATGGCCGTCTGCAGCGCTGAATGCTGTTGTTGGTTTGAATGGCTGCGGTTATGACTATTAGAGATTGGTGTGTTGGTGTTATTTGTGCTGCTGCTGCTGCTGCTCGGCAAAACTACATCGTATTAACTCGTCAGCAGTGCGATGTTGATCTCCTTAACCATCTTGACACGATGCAGCATCTTTTGTAATGACTCCTGACTAAGCGCTTGGGTGGAATACCAAACCGGCGAGTCGGGTACACAAGAACGTTCAGGTTGTAAATAAAATACATCATTGCGTGTTTTTACGCTTTCAGGACTACAAAAATCGTTGAAAATTATTAGTAGTTTTGTTTTAGTTGAGAAATTTGTTTAGCGACTTACCATTTGGAGAGGTAAAACTCATAGAGGCGGACTGGGCAGCGCAAAGGATTTTCTTCGTTCTCTTGCTGTTCATAAACCTTTTTCTTACGAGGGTTAGCATCTGCAAAAATAAGTTAAAAATTTAATACATATGCTGTAAAGTTCTGATTTTTTTTTTTGGGTTTTTATAAAAACACTTACCAAGACCAGCTTGTGGCGGATAGAAACGTAGAAGTACATTTCTAGTACCTGGCATTTTAGCATTTTGGGCTGAGCGTTTCCAATGTTTCATTATGTGAGAGAAGGATAGTTGCATGTGCTCTTCTACCGTCTATGAGTTAAAAAAAATCGAAAGATTTCAAATTACAATTATACCCCGCTTACAACAATAGATTTGTTTCATGTTACAAACCGTCAAATTGAAGTGTTTTGTATTAAAAAACATAAGTGTACTGAGTAGAACATGTGGTGAATGAGCGCCCAGCTGTTTACACTCCCATAAATGTTCCTCTTCAACACGGGTCACAATGTACTCTGTAATCGAAATAGTTATTTTTAAATAATATAGTACTTATAATAAAAAAATCAACTGCTTACGTGAATCATTGTAGAGGACTGAAAATTTACGGGCCACTTCATCCAAACAGTCGGTAAAACGTTCATAGTATGGATCCGTGAATATATTATCAATTCTGCCATTTTCATACAGATATTGCTGGATTCCTAACAAAGCATATAAGCACAAAATTTGTAATTAAAAATTCTTTAAAGGTTGCACAGTATTTTAATTTATAAAAAAATATTTATTTATTATTATCTCTAATTAATATTTCAAATTAATTTATATTAAATTACGTACAAATTCTTCAAAAGTTATATAAGTGTGTGCACCCACCTTACAATTGACGTACAATTACATAAAGATATAAAATAGTATTATATTTAACTTACCTAAAACCAAGTAGTATATAGTATCTGGAGCATATTCAGTGCCATTTGGCTTACGCACCTCTTTTACAAACAAACACAGAGAATAGTTTAATTCGTCTGCAGTCATTTGCAAAAGCTCCGTTTTGAATGGTCGACGTCTAGTCGTACTTTTTTCGATGTCGGCATTCTTTGTCATTACCCATTGCTTCCACGCGTTCACACCAAAAGTGTACTTCAAACACATATTGGCGTCGGGTTTTTCTACAGGTTGAATGGGTTGTGGTGGTGGTTGAGATGGTTCTATATCCAGCCTAGAACGTTTCACTGGTGAACGGTTATTACTTCGAGGTGATACTGGTGAAGTTAAACCACCGCGTTTACGTCCACGTCCACTGATATAAAAGAGATTTATGTTAATATTGTAATAATATATTATCTTAATTTATCAATCATCAACCAACCGTTGTGTTTCCATTATATGGTGAGGTTGCTGTTGCATATGGTGAGCACTCATATGGCTTATAGAATCATCGTGTCCCACCATACCTGGTGGTGGATTTGTTATCTCACTAGCAGTCATGGCCGATTCAAGATCAACGGCAGGCTGACCGTACTCACCAGTTGCCATTTTTAATGCCATCTGTAGTACTTCTTCACCATATGAATTGTTAGTCACTTCAACAGGTTGTACATCGTTATTGTATTGTAACGGAACCAAGCTCGGTTCAGTTTTTACTTCATCTTCTGAATCCGAATCAGATTCGTGTTTTTCTTCGGCTACCATCTCAGCCATCATAAGCAATTCAGCTTCAAATGGATCGGCTGGCATTTTATCTTGAATTTTTTTAATTTCCTTAAGTATACCTTGAGCCGAATTTCGTGTAGTGGGTATAA